TACTCTACAATTGCACTCATTTCACACGCTAGCAAGGTTATGCTCAAAGTCCTCCAAGGTAGGCTTCAGCAGTATGTGAACCGAGAACCCCCAGGAGTACAAGCTGGATTTTGAAGGGGCAGAGGAACTAGAGACCAAATTTCTAACATGTGCTGGATTATGGAGAAAGCCAGAGAGTTCCAGAAAAATATCTACTTCTCCTTCTTTGACTATGCAAAAGCCTTTGAGTGTGTGGACCACAGCAAACTATGGCAAGTCCTTAAAGAAACGGGAGTGCCTGACCACCTTATCTATCTCCTGAGAAACCTATATATGGGACAGGAAGCAACAGTTAGAACTGGATATGGAGCAACTGATTGGTTCAAAATTGGGGAAGGAGTACGACAAGGCTGTATAGAGAAAAGGTGCTTGAGGGGAGACATGACTGAGATGTATAAAAATTATGCAGGGGATGAATAAAGTGGATAGAGCGAAGCTCAGTTCCCTCACAAGCAATACCAGAACCAGGAGACATCCACTTCAACTGAGTGTTGAGAGAGTGAGAACAGAGCAAAGAAAAGATTTCTTTACCCAGTGTGTTGTTGGCCTGTGGAACTCCTTGCCACAGGATGTGGTGATGGCATCTGGCCTAGATGCCTTTAAAAGGGGATTGGACCAATTCCTGGAGGAAAAGTCAATCACAAGCCATGATGGGGATGTATAATCTCTAGGCTTAAAAGAAGGGCACCTCAAAATGCCAGATGCAGGGAAGGAGTATCAGGAGACAGATATCTAGTTGCCTCATGTGCTCCCAGAGGCATCTGGTAGGGCCACTGTGTGAGAGAGGAAGCTGGACTAGATGGGCTTGGCCTGATCCAGCAGGGCTCTCCTTTTGTTCTTACGCTATTATTTGGTAAGTATTGCACCATCATACTGGTTTTTTAGGTCAGTGAGTTGGGTAACTGGCTTCAGAACCAGAGGTCAGGAGTGCAATTTCCCCATACCTCCTGTGAAACGCCTGTGCAGCCTTGGGCAAGCTGCACAGTCCCAGAGTGCCCCTAGACAGAGAGACTTGTGAACCATTTTTAAGTACTCTATACCTAGAAAACACTGGAAAAGTTCACCTTAAGTCAGGATTGACTTGACAGCATGTAATTATTAAGTGCTGTGCTATCAATGTACCTGTAGCTTCACAGTAAAATGTGTTTTTTTCTTGAGAACAATCTGAAAGTTGACATGAGGTGAGGCAATAGAACAGAGAAACATGGAAGTAAGAATAATGCAGGTGAAGAATATGTGTTCACTTAAATAATAATAATGTTTTGTTTTCTGTAATTTGGCTTAATATTGAGCAAAGATGATCAAGAGAGTATTCCAAGCCTTTAGAGAACTGGCAGGTTTTAACTAGGGCTGCTACACTGATTGATCTGATCATTTATTTAAAAATTCTGACTCAAAAAAGAAATAAATGCTTATTAATCAGGGAAACTATGAAGTCAAGGTGCTTTAATTAGAAGGTTTGTGCATCTCTCTCTTTCTCTAGCTGGCACCTTAACTGGCTCAGTTGGAAGTGGCACCAGATGTGAGGGACACTCAGAATGTTTACTGCCTCATACACAAAAAGAACTAAGCTATATGAGAATGTTTCCAGTTTAATCGACCATTTGAGAACCAAATACTTCAAAATCAATATGAAAATGAAAGAATCTGTTGTAAAAGTGTCCTCCCTTAAATTGAATGCATACATTGAGAAACCAGCACATCCTACTTAAATGCAAAAGACAAGCATGGAAACTCTATGGATAGTTTCCAGCTCAAGTTCCCTCAGATTCATAGACAATTAAGACTAGATATAATACATGTTCCTTAAAGAATGATCAGACACTTTTTGTCACAAGATCTACTGTAACTTTTCTTAATTTTAACAACAACAATGTAAATGTTGAGGTGGGTGGCAAATAACCACAAAAAGTAATATTTGTTAGTTCAAAATATCTCCTTGGGGGAGTCATAGGTTGTTGTTTTTTTTAATGATGTCAAAAACAATATAAAAGTTGAGTTACAGAATTCAGTATTTTTGACAGTAGTTAAAGAGTCATGAAAAAACTAATGCTAATTGGTACTTCTATTATTTTCAAGCTCTGTTTATGAACATTCTTGAGGAAGTAAATAGTCTTAAGAACTCATGCTGTTAGCTGTACAGGTGACTTTTTAGCCAATCATAGTTACTTTGAGAGAACAAGTTATTGTACAGATAGCAACTGGGAGTTCTGCAGTTCAACATTTTAAGAGTAGAAAGTGATGGGAAGTGTAGAAGCTCATGACACTGATGGGAAGTGTAGACGCTCATGCCAGAAAACTGTGAGGCAGCTAAAAACACACAAATCAGCAGTTACAATACTTACAGAGTGCTAGATAATCAGGAAGTTTAAGAGTATAGACTTCCATGGAGTCTTTGCATTCTAATTCATATGACTAAAGAAGTGGATGATATTCCATAAAAGGTTACATTAAAATAAAGCAGTTAGTCTTTATAGTGCCACATATTTGTTTGTTTTTGTTTTGTTCTGTTTCTTGATATGCTTGCCCAGACTAACCTGGCTACAACTCTGAAAGCTGAAAGTTAAGGGTACTTTTGTCAAAATGTTGGTTTTCCGGTAAGCCAGCATCAATGGGCTTTTCTTTATTCAAGTGGAAACTGCTGAAAAAAGTGATGAGTACTGTGGCATTGTCTTGAAGTGTCAGAGACGTTTGAAGGTTTTAAAAATGTAATTTTATTGTGTATTAGCTACTGAAGTTAACTGATCAAATAATATGAACATTTCTTACAGTCATAAAGTACAATGAAGTGACTGCTCTTGATTTAATTGGTCACGACAATGTAGTGTTGACCACAAATCTTGCTGTATGTCATGAACCTGGATTTTCTAGTACAAATGGCATTGCTTGTCAACAATAAAGCTTTTATGATATAAGTAGATATTCTTTTCTGTAATTTGTAATTTCTGATCCAGAAGCAAACAACGAAACTGTGGAAACTTCTTTATCTCTTACACCTGATGCAACTAATATTGCATATACAATATGAAAAGCAATAAACAGCAGCATCCTACAGAACAGCGTAACAGCTCTGACAACTCCCCTTGTCTAGTGCGTCACTGCTCCCTAGTCTGACCCCTCAAAATGCTTTGTAATCCAGCTATTTCAGTGTCTTGTGAGAGAATGTTCAGTGCAGTGGGAATTGTTGTCAACAAGCTTTGCCCATCCATGAATTCTGCAAATGTAAACAAATTACTTTGTTTTGAAATCCTGGCTGCAGAATGACAGCTAAGTAATCCTGTGTTATATTTTGTATTGTTTATTGTCCTCGTGCCCTGAAAAACTCCAGAATGCAAGTTCTTTTTTTCTTTCCTGATAAACATGCCCTGAAGTTTAAAAAAAAAGAAAAAAAAATTTCTTGAAATTTTTATTTCATTCAAAAGTAAATGTGTGAGCAGATAAAATTCTATTAATTGCCTTAAAAACTTTCACTGGTGAGTCAACCCTAGTTTAATGTCTTTTGATGCCACCACACTTGCATAGCTAACCAAAATTCAGTTTATGAAGATGCCTATGTTTTGCCCTCTGTAGAAGGCATATTTCTACTTAGGCATTTTAGAAGCAATATTTAATAAATTTTTGTGGTGGAATTAAGAAATTTGCTAGGATGCTGTCCAAGAATTTTACTCCTACTGTAAGAAAAATTTTCCTACTCAAATGCTTTACTAGTTTTGGTCTGTAGAAACAGCCACAATAACAGTAAGCACATGCATAGCCAATATATATTTCAAGGTCCTTACATAAAATCTGACATGAATTGGATAAAATACAATAGGTAAATAGACAAAGCTATGAATAGATGACAACTAAGAATCAAGTGGGTAGCAAATAGATAAATGGCATGGATGGACAATAAAATGCTTTGGGCACAGCAAAAAGGATACAAATAAAGAAGCATGGGGAGATTAATAAAGATTAGGAAAATAGTGATGAGTAGATGGTGTCTATGGTGAGACAAAGAAAATAGATAGGCTAAATATACTATGAAATTGATAGGTAATAGGAAAAAATGGAAGTACATGAAAAGAGATGAAAATAATGGATGGGGAATGCTGGTCTGATTAACTCATGGAGATAATGGGATATATAGAAAGTGGGAATGCAATATGTATACACATGTTGGTAGACTGTAGGTGGATTGGAATGACAATAAAAATGAACAAAATACAAGTAGGTAGTAAGAGCATATGCATGGTCAAGAGAAGTCATAGATAAAGGGCTCTGATGGTGGATGAAATGCATAGATGGTGGTGGACAACTATTGATGGGTTGAAAATGCAGAGATGTGCAAGGATCAGGAAAGACAGGAGAAAGAGATGGAAATGGAATATAAGGCGGCTAGGCAAATGAGTAGATCTGCCATGTAAAATGGATAGGCAAATGAGTAGATAGAAAGGATTAAGAGATCGCTTAACCAGGTCATCAGAGGTTGGCAGAGAGAATGAGAGGGCAGAGCAAGGCTAGAGAGGACAAAGGCTGGGGTTGGAAAGTAAGAAAGAAGTTGAGCAGGAACAGAAGAAGAGGAAGATGGGAAATGAGGAGGGCAGAGGGTAGCTTGGTGGAGGAAGGCTATCAGGGCTGGGATGCCTGTGGTGCAAAGTGACTTGGTGAAGGAGGTTAACTTGTGGGTGAGGGAACATGATGCCTGTTTTCTTGAGGCTGGGGGATGAAGACCCTCTTGCCCCTTCAGCACAGCCTCTGTGGTGGTGGAGGGCTTGGGGAACCCCCAGGCTTGCCACAACTAGGATCCAGCCCCTCATGGCTGCCACCATGAGGACGTCCTCCAACGAAGCATATGGCAGACCTGCCCTTCCCGCCCCCCTCACCAGCCCCATCACCCCTTTCTCCCTCGTGCGGCTCCTCCTCCTCCTCCTCCCCTCCCGTCGCTCCTCCCCTTTCCTCCCGGCGGCCATTGGCCCAATCCTCGCCGCCCCCTCGCGCCGCCGCCGCTCAGCTGAGGGAGACAATGGGCGATCAAAGAAGGGGAGGAGGAAGAGGAGGAGGAGGAGGAAGAGGAGGATGGCGGTAGACGAGGCTCGAGCCCAGTGGTGTGGCGCTCTCTCAGCGCTCGATTAGTGATCCTAGAGCGAGACCCAGCCAGCCGCCCGAGCGAGGGACGTGGAGGGGACGCCGAGTGGCGGCGGCGGTGGCGGGTACGGGGAGTCGTCGCCGCTGCAGCTGCTGCCTCCTCCTCCTCCTCCTCTCTCCCTCCCTCCCCCCACCCTCTCCCGCGCCTCGCGAGCAAAAGTGTGCGAGAGTGAGTGCGAGTGTGAGTGAGCGAGCGAGCCCCGTTGCGCAGCTTGGTCTGCGCACAAGCACCACCGGAGGAGGAGGAGGAGGAGGAGGACGGCGACTGACCACCACCACCACCAAAGCACCACCACACGGGCACATTTTGAGGGAGAGGAGCGCTGTGGAACGACACACACACAGAGGCAGAGAGAAGGAGAAGCAGCAGGAGGAAGAGGAGGAGGAGGAATGGGAGGAAAAGGAGAGGCCACCCCGGACAGCCAACTGAGACAAAAGTAGCTCCAAACCAGCACCCAACTCCACCTTGGGAGGCAGGCGGCCAGGCGGGCGCCTCAGCATGGCTTCCGAGGAACTCTACGAGGTAACAGCCCCAGTGCTTTCCCCCCCTCCTCTTCCTCGTCTCCGCCTCCCTTACTCTCTACCCCCAACCTCCTCTTTTTTCTGTGTAAATGCTCAAAAACCTTGTGCTCCCTTCTTTTTTTCTTCTTCTTATTTTGCTTCTCCGCTTTCTTGGCAGGGCCCTCCCTCTGTGTGTGTGTGTGTGTGTGTGTGTGTGTGTGTGTGTGTGTGTGTGTGTGTGTTTTTCAATTTCCATCCTCTCCCCAGTTTCGTTGGAGGAGGACGGAAATATGACTGAAAGGAGGAGACAGCAAAGTGTTACCATTGGCTTGTGTTTTTTCTCTCTCTTCTCTCCCCCCCCCCCGCAACTCCCCAGCCACCCCTTACCCTCTCTCCAGCCTCGCCACGAGGAGAGAAGGGAAGGGGTGGGTTGTCGGATGGTGGTGGGGCAGCAGCAGCAGGGCTGACAGGCGCAACTTGCCCAGACTCTCTGGCACACAAATTGGGCTCTTCTCGGTAGTCTGCAAAAATGTGTGCAAAAGCCCATGTCCCCCTGTAGGGAGGGCGGAAAAAGAAAGAAAGAAAGGACGATTTCCTTTCTCCTTAAGGTTGCCTTTCGGAAGTACACTGACACCTTCTCGTTGCAGGAAAGCAGCCCGCGTAGATGCAAAACATTAAACATTCAGAACCGACCCGGCTTTTCACGTTCTTTAGCAGAAATGGCAAGTTTCGTTGAAGGGGGGGGGGGTTCAAAGTCACCGTGTTGAGACGTCACCGTCCTCACTTATCTGTTTTAGAGATTAGACAACTTTCTCAAGGGGAGTCATGGTTAGCTTTTCTTGGGAAGGAGATGACTACTTTTGCTTTGAATTTCCGGTCTTCTGGTGTCAGTTTCATATTTTGAATGTCTGGAGACAATGGGGTTTCTCTTGGATGCAACTTCCTGGTTGGTATGTTTTACTCAAGGGCCACACAGCATCACTTATTTGGGAAGCATTCTATCCATTTGGTAAACATGTGCTCCCACATGAAAGCAAAGTTCTCTCATGCCATGGTTAAAACACTATGGGGGTGGCATGCTCACTTTAAAATGGTATTCTTCGTTTCAACCTAGAATCTTAGAACCATTGTGATATAAGAAA